CTTGATGAAATGTAGAAGTCAACGCGTACGATCAATTTCTGAAAACAGATTAGCGATAGCCTTTCCGGATCAAGCACACTTAGCGATGGGAGTTCCCTCACCTATATCATGATTTGATACTCGACACATCCACACAAACTATGCAGGAGTCTCTCAGACGGCAGTGGTGCCCTCTGCCTTCAAGGCGCATGATTGGTCAATATTTAGTGGCGTGTGCTAAAGAAGAGGCTGGGCTTCATTGGGTATAGCGGAGCCCCATAATGGCCAGGGGGCACCATTGCCGCCTGAGTCCCAACTGAGATAAGACCTTCCCTGAATCAGTGACGCAAGGCACCAAGGCATCAAGGTATCAAGGCATCAGGGTATCAAGGCATCAAGCTAGCTGTCCAGGAAATTAGCCAAAGTTCAGCCTTACTGCCTGAGGCGGTAGCTGACCAAATGCTTAACGTTCATTGATTGGAGACGAAGTGACGACTGACTACAGCGAAATCCAAATAACAGTCACAAAATTCCCACACTCATAGTCATTGAAATGAGTTAATTCGACTGATCTCTATATATCTGGATGGAACACTTCCATTGAATGCACCCGTAGAAGCTGCAAGTGGTCCATTGGATTTCCTTCTTTCCTTGTGCACCTCCAATTGCTCAATATGGCGTCTCTCCGATTCTGTGCTCCTGTCATTCGAAGCGTTGCTCGTGTATCACACCGTAGATTCGCTTCTGCTACCGCGCCACTCACTTCCCCCAGACACCTACTATCAATCGCAGATCTAACTCCGGCGGAGTTAACCACCTTGGTCCTCAATGCCGCGAGTCATAAGAAGACTATCAAGTCGGGAACCACCCCCAAGAACATCGCGGGTGCGTTGACCGGGAAGCTGGTAGGTATGACGTTCAACAAACGAAGTACGCGGACAAGAATTTCAACCGAGGGAGCCGTGGTAGCGATGGGTGGCCATCCGATGTTCCTAGGAAAAGACGACATACAATTGGGCGTACGTGGACATCCTTCCCAGAGCACTCTATCCACTCTAACAGTGAAGGGTAGGTCAATGAGAGCTTATACGACACGTCGGTGGTCATGTCCAGCATGATGTCGTGCATAGTCGCTCGCGTGGGGCCCCATAGCGACGTCGCCGATCTCGCGAAGCATTCCAGCGTCCCCGTCATCAATGCGTTGAGCGACTGGTATCATCCTCTCCAAACCATCGCCGACTTCCTCACCCTCCACGAAGCATTTCCTTCCGACAGAACCTTCCCCGTCGGCCTCGACCTGGCCGGACGGAAGATCGCATGGGTCGGGGACGCGAACAATGTGTTGTTCGACCTGGCGCTTGGGGCGGTGAAATTGGGCGTCGACGTCGCCGTGGCCACGCCGAAAGGATACGGCATACCCAAGAGCATGCGCGACCTCATTGCCGCTGCTTCAGAACCCACCCCGACGCCTGGCAAGATCACCGAGCACGACGACCCCTTGGAGGCGGTGTACAATGCGAATATCTTGGCGACGGACACGTGGATTAGCATGGGCCAGGAGTCGGAGAAGCAGAAGCGCCTCAGGGATTTCGCTGGCTTCCAGATTACCGAAGAGATGGGCAAGCGAGGCGGTGCCAAGCCGGACTGGAAATTTATGCATTGCTTGCCGAGACATCAAGAGGAGGTGGCGGATGAGGTCTTCTACGGGAGTAGGAGTTTGGTCTTCCAAGAGGCGGAGAATCGGCTCTGGGCTGCAATCGGTACGTTCTGGTGGATTCGAACCCAAAATCTCTATGCTAACAATGATTTAGCGGCCATTGAAGCGTTTGTTGTGAACAAGGGGGAGATTCGATGAGTTTGAGTGAGCGGTCGGTTGAATAGCAAGCGTTTGCCTTGCACGGATCATGGGAATAAGCGATTCATTTTTTCAGAAAAGCGTACTTAGACACAAGCCTGTTTACAAAGATATCCCATTGCACTAGTTGCCGAACAAGAGAAAATTTTAACCTGGGGGTAGGGTGCTCTGGTCCACCACATCTTCCGCCTCCTTCTCTTCCACCTCCGGAGCGTACAGGGGTGATCTGGGAAGAGCCATAAGTCCTAGCAAAATGCGTTAGCAGAGTTCAGGGAATATAGCATAGCAAAGAGAGGAACCAGACTTACCAGTCCTCGAGCTTTCTAAAATGCCGAACGGCTGGATCAGCTTCATGAAGCTGTTGATTCTGCTTGGCTTCGCGCTCAATTCCACAATACAGTTATTCGTCGAGATATCCACGACCTTCCCACCGAACTGGTGAGCGAGATGGGTGATCGCCTGCAGATGCTCATGTTTATGCCTCAACGCCTGACTGGTCGCCAGCTTGCTGGGATGATAATCCTGCCGAAGCGACTCTATTGCCCGTATGGAAGCTTCTTCATTTACCGCTGCCTCGCTCCCATCAAGGCCGCTCCCCTCATCTTCGGTCGCCTCCATCGCCATTTCCCGATGGTGAGCCAACAGTTCTTCGAAGAACTCCGGGCCCAGAATGCTGAGCTTCGCGAGCAGCAGCTCACGCTGGACCAGCGGTGCTTCCGTGTAGTCCAGAACCGCCCACACCGGCACGAGGTCCTCGAGCTGCCGTCGCGCCTGCTCGACCACGCCGTCCTGGCCTTGCAGCACGATGGTCATGCGGGACAGGTCTTCGACCTCGGTGTTGCAGACCACGAGGCTGTCAATGTTGAAGCCCCGCGCGGCCAGGATTCCCGACACGCGGGAGAGGACGCCCGGCTCGTTTTGCACGAGGCAGTTGAGAACATGGCGTTGGCGGGGCGCTTGGGAGGGGAGGGGGGTTTCGTAGAGAATCGAGGAGACGGCCGCAGGGGCGGACCATGCTGGAGGGCTGTCGGCAGTGGGGAGGGGAGAGATGCGTCGGTGCAGGGCTTTGTAGGCCAATGCTGAGGTGGAAGACGAGCTTTCCCGAGCCTGGTTGAAGAGGATGGTAGTTTGCGGTGAGCGAGATGAGAGGACTCGGCCGCTGAGGCGTTGGATCGCCCGCCGAGCAGCCATTGGGGCTACTGCGGCTCCTCTAGAGAGCAATTGTATAGAGTATGGGGAATGTAGCGGTCGAATAAGAATATTGAAGAGGAAAGACTCTGGTTCGTGAAAGAGGAGCAATAAATAAATTATGAGTCGTTGAGTTCGAATTAGATCGAGTCACAAGTCGTTAAACAACGACGCTTGTGATTGGCTGAAAGCAACCAGGGACCTCCGGCTGCGGAGTGTCCAAAAAATCCATCCCTCACCAGCTTAGTACGCCCGAACTCTATCTTCATCGCGAACTTCCCATCTACCTTTACCCTCCTCATTCATAGTTTACCGATCGCCTCGTTTGCTACTTTAGATGGTCTCAACGCTCCCATACTGACCTACTCAGTACTTCAGCCCGCTCCGGCACAACCAAACATCAATATGGCTGACGAACCCCGTAAACGATCGCGATTCGACCAGACCGAGGCCGAACCAAAGCGCTCCCGTTTTGATCGCCGCTCGCGTTCACCTCCCTCCCGAACCTCCACCCGGGATGTCCGAAGCCGTAGTCCCCTTCAGTCAGGAGCTCGAGATATTGGTAGCGCTAGTCCCGCTGCAAAGAAAGACCCTGGTGCCGCCGCCGCAGCTGCAGCTGCTCGAATTAACGCACAGATTCAGGCGCGCAAGGCTACAGAGATACATAACACAGGCGACGTATGTCCTGATTCGTTGATCAGATATGCTAACGGCATACCCCCTTTCTTGTCTATCAGTCGCTAACTTGACCTCAACAGTCTGCGACCCCACCCTCCGAGCAATCCGCCGTAGTAAAAGCGCCAGTGAACAAGGCTAGCGCGAGCGTCCCCGGAGATATCTACACGCAAGATGGCGATTACATCAAGGATATCGAGATCAACGATCTCCGTAATAAATACACGCTGACCAAGGGAGCTACTCAGAAGATGGTAAATACTTTTGCTGTTATAACCAGCTGATCGTCCAGGACGGTTTCTGACTCGCCAAAAACCCGAAGCACACTTCCAACTGCTGTCGCGACGTTTTGACTGTCGCTCAGCAAGTATTTTCTTTTCTGTATTTCACGTGTGTTCGGAGAAATGCTCACCAACCATCTGTTCTAGCTATATTTCCCACCCGTTTGGCTGATGCTGACCTCACCTGTGTGACATCTAGATCAAAGAAGAAACTGGCGCCGGTACGCACATTCACTGTCTAACCGTTTAGTGAGCTATGCTTATGCAAGTGTGAAGATGTCACAACCCGCGGGGAATACTATCCCGACAAGAGCTTGGCTACTGCTGCTGTAAGTTTGTCAGCCTGATATATTTGAGTACTAAGCTAACCACCGCTCTAGAGCCCCCCACTCTACCTACACATCACGAGCCTTAGCAAAGAAGGGCTAGAGAAAGCCATTGGGAAGATCGATGAGTTAATGAAGCAGGAGTTGCCCAACTTGGTGGACGAGCGACGTCTCCGCCGCCGCGAGCCCGACCCGGTTGAGCGTGACGAGCTTGGAAGGGTATCCATTATCTGTTTAATATTTGTCGACGAGCTTGCTAATTTGTATAGCGTAAATGGCCGGAAGAGCGTATCCCAATTGATCTTGAACCCATCCCTGGATTCAATCTCCGAGCCCAGGTCGTCGGACATGGTGGAGCTTACGTCAAGCACATTCAAGGCGAGACGCGGTGCCGTGTGCAAATCAAGGGCCGAGGATCGGGGTTCATCGAGCACAACACCGGCCGAGAAAGTGACGAACCGATGTACTTGCATGTTGCGTAAGTATCAAGCCCCCACCAAACCATAACTGCGGTCCTGTTAACATCCTATAGAGGGCCTGATGCAAACGAAGTTCAGCGCGCGAAAGAGCTCTGTGAAGATCTTCTCGACAACGTCAAAAAGCAGTACGAATCTTTCAAGGAGCGTGGCGGTTCCCAATCTCACGGCAACTATAACGGCCAGCGTAGCTACGGCAGCTATGGCAGTCAGGGTGGACAAGGCGGACAAGGCGGACAAGGCGGCCATGGTGGACACGGCGGCCACAGAGATGCCCAGTCGCCTCCCCAAGCTGCCGCCGCTATGTCACCTCCTGGAGCTGCAGCTAGCACCTCGAGTGCCGACTACGCCGCGCAATATGCCCAGTACTACGGCGGGCAAGACCCTTATGCTCAGTACGGCGGCTATCAGAACTACATGACCATGTGGTATCAGTACTACGGCCAGGGCCAACCGGCACCGGATGGCACACAGCCAGCTGTCGGGGCAGGGTCTGTCGCACCTGGAACCGGTGCTCCTCCCCCGCCGGTTGAGCAACCGCCTCCTCCGCCTCCTGGAGCACCGGGAATGTCAGCACAGCCTCCACCGCCGAGTGGGAACCCGCCGGGTGGATATAGTGCGGTTAGTGGAACGATACACATTTGCTGAGGTGAAATACTGACAAGCCGTTACAAGGTTCCACCGCCGCCCGGAATGTAGATCAGGTGACTTGAGACGAGCTATCAAGGGGCCGACTTCATCAGGTAATATCGATGCGACAGACGCAGATGGTATACCATTCACATTGCACCCCTTTTCCACCGTGAATGTTTCTGGTCTAGGAGCAACGCTGGAAAAGCGTGCGTTGGGTTTCAGTATTTGTGGTATTCACGCGCACGGGCCGACAATGAGTCTAATTAGTTTATTCTCTGTATTGTATAAGTGGCCTATATTGGCTTGTTTAGTATCTTCCCATGATGCCATCATCACTAAACCCTTTCAGCGCTTTGCGTACTTTCTGAACCTTCACCATGCTTCTCCCCTTCCACGTGCACAGCGCCAGGTTTCTCATCGTGATGGTCTTCAATGATGTTCCCATGAATGTCAATTTCGCGCCGATATACCGCGACATCGTCTGTGTCGCCAAAGA